TTTTCTGTTACAGGGTTATTAATGTATGTGAAAAGACTTTGAAAACCGTATTATTATTTTATTAAATTCCGAAGCCCTTTCACCCCAGTTACAATTCCTTTATTAGCTTAGCTGCTTTTCAAGATGTTAGGAGAAAAAAGATCTATTTCCATTTATTTGCTCATGAGTACTTTAACACTTAGCTGAAATTATTTGAATGAATAGATCTGGAAGGAGATTTGGAAGAATGTAAGTTTTGTGATAGAGTGAGATTAGCTATTGTTATATTAAGTCATAGGTAAACGTCTGAGCTCTTTGGAATTCAAGATACATGCCCAAGTCTCTAAACTGGTGTCACCGAGTAAGCAGACATATTTGGGACTGATGTGTTTCCAAGTTGGAGTCCTGGATGGCAGTTTCTGTGCTCTGAGAGAACCAGAACACAGTTTTATACAGCCAACAAGCCATGTTTTTAGAAGCTTAAAAAATAATTTTTGGCTTCCTCAATAAATTTTACAGTAAACAAAGATAGTGGGAGAATCTAGATGTTTTTGATAGAGGAAATTTTTTTAAATGGCCAGTCAACTCGAATAACCCTGGCAACCTGATAGGTGACTAAAGAAACTCAAATTGAAAAAAAGGTATAATTTTTTACAGTTGGAGAACACTCTTTCAAAACATTCAAGATGAGTGCTGCAAGTGTGAGGTGATACAGACACTAGTGGGGAAGTATGCTGGTATAGTCTTTCTGCAAAGGTATTTGGCAGTATGTTGGGACCCTTACCATTACTAATGACTGTAGACCAACTAATTCCAATTACAGGATGTTTTCCTATGGAAATAATCTAGTCTTAAATTGCACAAATATTTATCTGTGAGAATGTTCATTAGGGTGTCAATTATAATTGCAAAATATTTGAAACAAATGTTCAATAGTAGGGGAATAGTTAAGTAAATTATTCAACGACCATATGATGGAATATAATCAGCCATTTAAAATCATGTTTTTGAAGGATATTTTAATGGTAAGAAAAATGTTAGCATAATAAAGGCAAAAGTAGGATGCAAACCTGTTTACACATATAATTTATAGATAGAAATGGATAGCTGTATATGTCATGCTAATAGTAATTGTCTTTGGACAGAGGGATTATTTTTCTTTATGCTTTCTGTATTGTCCAAAATTTCTACAATGAATATAATGTATTTTCTAGCTGGAAAAACATTATTTTAAAAAAGAAAAAATTCAGGGGAGGAGAATGTAATTGTTCATTAAATTCAAATCTTTTAAAATGTAAGGTAAAATTTTAAGGTAGTCTACAAATAAAAGTCACAATACCATTTCAGTAAGTGAATGGATAAGTTGGGTAGGTTGCCAGTAGGTTGTTGATTTAAGATAAAAATATCAAATTGCTGTTTAACATTTTTCTGGTAAAAAAATAAAAATTTTGATTGAAAGAGCAGTTT